TACTTGTAATACAGTCGTAAATATCATCAATAAAAAAAAAAAGTTGAGATTATAATCTTTCAAAATGTACTTACACCTTTGCCTTTAAAATAATTTCTAAATGAATTAAAATAAAATAAAGGATTTTAAAATAAAAGATAAATATATTTTTAAAATGGGATCGCCTAATAAATATTCAAGCAGATATATTTTCTCTGGAAACGTTAGTGGCAACACTGGTGAACCTTCATGCCAATAAAGGTATCCTTGATTTTGTGTTTCTATTATTAAATATTATCAAGTTAGGTTATTTTTCAAAATTGTATTTAAACTTTAAATTTATTTATATGCCCGTGGACAATAGCAGAAAATCAAAAAACGAAACATTCTCGAAAAATCGTATGAATTATATTTTTTTTTATATAAATGTAATGAAAAGTCCACTTCACCCGCACACCTAATATGGATAGGATTAGTTGAGTAGTGTAAGAAAAGGGTGAATAACCAAAGTAATCCTGCATTCCACAGTCAATGATGTGAACATTTATTTCCTAATTGATTTTATGAAATCCTTAGAACAGGGTTTAAAATTAAAATTAAAAAGTTTACACCGTGTTTTAAATACTGTTTGATTAATGAAATTAAATTCAGCTGCTGCTGGATTTAATTTCTATTGGATATATTTTTTATACAATAAATAAAAATCAGTAGCATAAACCGATATTCCTAGTTGATTTTAAACTTTTTATTTTATTTTATAAAATTGTTATTTTAACTTTAATGTATATGTAAATACCAGCTGTTTATTGAACGTAAAGTTAGTTATATTGTTCGTTACAAGTTGTTCGTTACAAGCAAAACTAATAACGCGTAATTTAATTTATAACTTAGTTTATTACTGATTTTATTAATCAGAAAGAATTACAATGGTATTAGATAATAAAATACATTAACAAGAACAATATAAATAAACGAAAATAAACCTGAAATACTTAATTAAATTACGCGTTATTACTTCTGCTTGTAACGAACCAAATTATATATACTTTCTGAATTTTTTTTTGGGGGGGGGAGTATAGTTCATTTAATTAATTCATTAATTTTATCATTCAATTAAATGAACTATACCTGGAAAAAAATAATTTTACAATATAATATTTTAGGATCGATTAAAAAATAATGGTGTATATGTAATAAGCTTTTCGGTTGAAGCCCTCCCACCCCCCAAAAAAAAAATTAAATCCTGAATCCGCTAGTGCAAAGCATTTTTTTTTTTTTTTTATTATTTAATCTTTATTTGTTGCCAGGGAAGAACCCATACAGAGTCTATCTTTGTATAACAAACATTACTACTCTTATGGTATTATAATTTTTTTTTTCATTTATATACTACTTTATAAATACTAAAAAAAGTAAAAATTCGATTACTATTTGGTAAAAAGTCAGACAGTTGAAATAACGCTAACTATTAACAATTATATAAAATCTTAAAATCCGTCAAAACACATACACAATATCAATAAAAACAATTAATAAATTTTATTTTTTAAATATAAATAATACACTATGTTTTAAAATTCTTCAATTAAAAGATTAATATCACGAGCAATGAAAAAACAAAACAAATAATATTCACAGGATAATATTCCTGATTACCTCAACAGTTCTTAATAATTTGATATATTAGAAATGAAAAAATATAATCTTCTCATATCTTCTATAGTAGTTGGCTCAAATATTTCCATCCCATTAAGATTATCCATACTCTGATAAGTTCTTACTGTTAAACTATTATATATTGGGCATTTAAATAATACGTGATAAAGTGTCTCTTTTTCTTTAATATTACACATTTTCCACTCAAATTGTGGAGTGAATTATACAACAAACCATTTCTGAAATAAACTTTTTGGTTAAAAAACCTCAACGAAAAATTGGATTTTCGTCCATTTAAGACGCGCCACTGTGGGCTGAGGAGATTAACATCATCGGAATGTAGATTATATAATTCTTAAGATTATCGCATAGCCGTGTTTACATCTATTACCATTTATTTTCTTATCCGTATTATTTTAACCACAATCTTTTGTGTGATATTCGCTTTTAGTTTTAGATATTATATTCAATGATTACTTCCTTGTGTTCAGTTATGTCAAAACTTTTTTAGAAGGATATAAAAAAAGAAAGGGGAAAAAAATGCAACCCTTTAAAGCACGAGCACCTTCTTATACACACGGTGGGCCCCCTTTACCGTGCACCCCCCTCCCCCCCCCGACCATCCCTATATAATTGCATATCGTTTGTGTTCCTTAGTAACCATTTATATAAAAAAAGCCAATTTTCCCACAAAAAAAAGTGAACTCACTTCCCAAAATGGCGTCCAAAGATGGCGGATTGACGTACTTTGACTTTAAGTTAGTTTTTGGTCACTGAGAATCAAGCAATTTTCGCTTAATTTCCATCATAGTTGGGGTCTTTTATTAAATCTAATAGTCATAGAAAATAAAACATGAGAAATATAAAAAAATAATGGCTTAGGCGCTATGAAAACACAAGTAAAGTCAACTTTTTTAACAAAAAAATTTCAAAGTTACAAAACCAATATAATGTACCAAATGTTATTATATCACTGTAACTAGTCATTTTTGTACTGAATGGTGTGGTAGAGGCCGTGTAGGCACCCACGCCAGTACCGCTTTTTCTCCGCATAGTGTATTTTCTACGAACTGCTTCAAATATTTTAAAAATATCAGCGTTTATAGAAAGAGAAATATATCTTCAGATGGTTTATTTCAGCAACGTTTTGCGTTATGTATACGCGTTTAATTACAAACGACCTTGAATCGTAAACTTGAAAATTTTTTGTAAAAAAGTTGACTTTACAGTGTTTTTCATAGCCTAAGCCAATTATTTTTTTATAATTTCTCATGTTTTATTATTCTATGACTATTCACTTTAATAATAAGACCAACTATGACGAAATTAAAGCGAAATGCTGAATTCCAGTGACGCAAAAACTAACTAAAGTCAAAGTCGGTCAATCTGCCATCTTTGGACGCCATTTTTGGGAATGCGTTCACTTTTTTTGTGGGAACATTGGCTTTATTTTAATAAATTGTTACAAAGGAACACAATCGATTTGCAATTTATAGGGATGTGGGGGGGAGTGTGCACGTAAGGGTGTCTGCCCCACAGACTATTAGTTAAGTCACCAGATCACAGGTCAATAGAATCAACCAATCGCAAGTTTGATAGAACAGATCATAAATTTCATCCTTAGAGGGTGCAAAATTTGAGTAATAGGTATTCTTACATAGTCCTTTCATAATCCTACTACTCTAGAAAAATATTAAGGATTATTCTATCTAAAACATGTTATAAACAATTTTTGAACTAAAATCAGTAAACAAATTTTAAACTTTTGGGTTACCGAAAAAGTATAGTTGAAGTTTTAGAATTTCAGTGAATACGCCTATGCTTATGATCTATAGTTTTCATAGGCCAAAAGGTAACTAAAAAAGTACTAAAGAAATGTCTTTGAGGGAGGTGGGAGAGGGAGTCGGACGTTAGAAAGAAATAAAAAAATTAAAAATTTAAGCCACAGAAAAATTTATATCGCCACAAAAACATATATATAAAAGAAAACCTTTACCACTACAGCCCATGAAGGGTCTTGGGTTCAGCACTTAGTAAGGAAGTACAGTTTCAAAGCCAACGGTTGTGGAGGGAAGTGATCAGGCCGAGATCACACTCAACCGACAGTTTTTTCCCATTAATTATTTATTTAATTAAGTAGCCACTTTGTAGAGATAACACTCAACCGAAAGGTTTTTTCTAGTAATTAATTATTTAATTAAGTAACCACTTTATAGAGGCTGGCTGTGCCCTAGGATGGTTCTTGATCCACGGAAGATGCAATGGGATAAATAATTACCTGCCACAGCCAAAATTGAAGCTGGAATCTTGAGCATAAGAAGTCAGTGCCTTGCCCACTGAGCTACCCCACTCCCAAAAGATATATATACATACAATTTAAAATAAAAAAAATAAATTCACTTGATATTCTAAGAAGGAATATATGGTGAAGGTAAATAAAAACATAAATATAATAATATTAATCTGGTCTTTCCTGCCTAATATTATGGTCCAAGTGACAGAATATTACTAAATAAGTGATAAAAAAAAAATCTAAATAAGTAACTGTATTCATTTATCACTATAATTATTGTCCACGATACAGAATATTATATATCTAAATAAATAAATAAAAAAATAAATAAATAAGTAACTAATGGGCTTCCGTTCGAAAATTCAGTTCATACAGATTTTTTGTTTTTGTTTTTGTTTTCCACCTACCTCGCTATTTCTGAAATATATTGAGGTTGAGGATGGTTCTAGAGGTACAGCCAAATTTTTATAACCAGAGTGGTAAGATCGAGACTCATTTCGTGCCATTATTTAACTATACTTTTACTCTTACAAGTTCCTTAGAACTTTCATTTATTTCTTTTCAAAAAAGTTCCTTAAAACTTTAATTTATTTGTATTCAAAAAAGTTCCTTAAAACTTTAATTTATTTGTATTCAAAAAAGTTCCTTCCAAACTGTTAAAATGAAACTTTTTAAAAATTTTCGTAAAATGGATGGAAGTCCTAGTTGAATGGGATTGACTAGAATTTTTTTGTTTTTTTAATTTCTTTATTGAGTAATATAACAATCTGTCTCTTAGACATTGGTTATAGTGAGGTAGGATGACATTCACACTATATGTACAAACAAAATAAAATAAATAGAAACAAAATAATAATCAAAAGTATATACAATAGATAATAAAATAAAATAACGATTAGAATTCTTTTTTTTATTATTTTTTTTTTTATTCGGCCACAATTTTTCAAAAAATATGTATGATCAGATGGTGAAGTTAAAAACATTTTTTATATACTCCATTAAAGAATTTAATTTTTCAATATTTGTTTCGGAAAATTTTAATTCGTTTTAATTCATTGACGTACATTTTCAGATGGGAAATGGTCCAGATTACAGGCGTGTGTGGTTTCCAGACTGGCCAGTGCATGTCACAGAAGACAACAAAACATTCCATATACCAATCGATATGCGTTTCAACGAAGGGCATAAGGTGTCATTGCTATTTTATTCAATTTTAATGGTCATTTCGTCGGTAGGCAATATAAGCGTCCTAGCGATATTATTGAAAAGGATGAAGCACAGCAGGTCGAGAATCAACATGATGCTGATCCATCTTGCTATAGCAGATCTATTGGTAAGTGATTTTTTCATGTTATCAAAGCTTCTTTCAATGACATCTTACCGCTTTTTTTTTCGCGATATAGGCCAGCTGAGGGCCTTCATTTTTCACTCATTTCCTTTTCCCTTTGTCCACCCTCTTTATCCCATCTTCCTCTTTTCTCCTCTAAGAACCTTCATGTTATTCACTGTTCCCCTAAATTTATATCTTTCTAGGTATTTCTCTCCTTTTATCCCAAGCCATACTATTTATTATTTTATCTGTTCAAAATATCCTTTGATGTTCTTTAGTCTCATTACTTTGTCATATATCTGTTTGTTTATCTTATCTTTACTCATTCTCTTCATGTAACAAAAAAAATTGCAATCTTATCCTCACTGATGTTTCTGGATCTTCGACATCTTAATACAATTACTGATTCTTTTTAGTCCAGTACTCATCTCCCACCTTCTTGTTCCATGGATACACCTTAGTATTTTCCTCTCCAGGGGTGCTCAGAAGGGGGTTTCATGGCGGAAGTTGCGGTATCAAAATTTTTGAGGAGAGCACATTTTTACTGGGTTTTGAATTTTTGAGGTGGATACATTTCGACAGGATTTTTTTTCGGAGTGAAAAAGTTTCAATCAAGGGAACAAGAGGAAAAACATGGAACAGACCATCGCAAGTGTATTTGTGTATGATCTACGACTTTTTTTTTTATTCTACTTTCGTTCACATTATTTTTTAAAAGGAGCAAAAAGTTGTCTTGGGAGGGAGGGGAAAGTTCAAGCGCCATCGACCTTGAGGGGGATGGGCACCCGTTCCTCTCTGCTTTCAGTAGCTTTTTGCTATTGGTAAATCTCATCGTCTCAAATCTACATAGCATTACATGTTTAACTACTGTTTCATAATGTCTTATTTTTGTTTTCTATGAAGATTCTTTTTCTTATATAGGTTTTTAATTGGATATCTAAGTCTTCCTAAGTTCACTTCTCTACAGGGGTGCCCAGAAGGTGATTTCATGGCAAGTTGCGCCATAAAAATTTTTGAGGGGAGCATACTTTGACGGTTTTTTTTTTTAATTTTTCATATCGACGGAGTTATGAATTTTCTGAGTAAGGGACAAGAGAAAAACATGGAACATACCGCAGCAAGTATAATTGTTTATGATATACGATTTTTCTAATTCTACCTTAGCTTGCTCTGTTTTTAGGAAAAGAGAGCAATAAAATATCCTAGGAGGAAGGGGAGGGGATGGACACCCATGCTTCTCTGTTTTTCGTCGACTGTGAATATACTCCCATTGTAATTAATGAGTTCTCCTAGGTATTTGAACTGTTTTAGTTCCATCAAACCCCCGCTCTAACCCCCTGGTCCGAGAAAAGACCGTATAGCCTAAAAGACGAGGAAGGAGGGAACAAAAAAAAAATTTTTAGTTCGGATATTCCCGTATTTAGATCTAATATTCTTTTTAGTTTCTGGGCAATTGGTAGTTATTTTTGTTCTATCGAAGAATATCTTTAATCCTGTTTTTTTTTTCTGCTATTCCCTTTAATTCCTCTATCTGGTCTATCGCTTCCTAATCGTTCTATGCCACCAATGTTAAATCACCCGCCTAGGCTAAACATATAACTCCTATTTTATCCTTCTCTTTTCTTAGCTTAGCTCCACACTTGTTGGCTTCCCAGAATGTCTTCATGATGTTATCTCCCGCTATGTTGAATAAAATAGGAGATAGTCCGTCCTCTTGTCTCAGTCCCGTTTTAACCTCAAATGCCCAACTAATTTCATTTCTAAACTTCACTTTAGAGTAGTTTCGGTCAATGTCAATTTGATTAGATTTGTTGTTCTGGTCTAGCCCATACTCTCTCAATACCCCAGGTCGTGTATCTCTGTCTGCTGAGACGAACGTTTTTAGAAAGTTTACAAATGATGCATAAATTCTCTTTGATCTTACTATAAAATATTTCAGGATCATTTCTCAACTCAGTATTTGTTGTGGCCATCACCTCCCTTATCTAAATTCTCCTATCTGATGGTCGACTTTGGATTCTAATCTATTCAATAAAGCTTTTGACTAAATTTTGTATGTCGTCGTAGTAATGATATTCCTCTGTAATTATCGATATCTGTTTTTAGTCCATTCCAATGAAGCAGAGGAATTAAAGCTGTTTTTCATTCCTTCGTTTTCTCGTCCTTTCCCCATATTTTTCCTAGTAGTTCTGTCATTTTAGTTATATGATTTTCCTCCGCATATTCCACATTTCTGTTATTATTCCGTCTGGAACAGCTGCTTTCTTATTCTTTAGCGCAAATAAAATTTCCTTTATTTCTTCCAATGATGGAAGTGAACTATTCAGGTTTTGTATCGTGCTTGATAATTTCCCTAATTTAATTTGCGGTTCTTCACAGTTTAGTAAATCTTCAAAGTAGTCTGCTAATATTCTACAGTTTTCCCTATAATGTTTTTGCAATTGTTCCGTCTTTTCTCAGAAGATTAAGATTCGGAGCTATGTAACCATTAATTCAATAAACTTTATAAAATCATATTTTAAGAAATGTAGTTTATATTATATTGGTAAATATTTTATTTATTTGTATGTTTAAGGCAAGGTTTGAGGAATTATTTTAAAGTTTAGTGAACTGTGGTCTTGAAATCAAATCTTTTTGAGTCATTATTATTTTTTTAAATACTATTATAATGAACGCCATTCAGCTGAGTTATTGAAGCGGATGGGAGAGGGCAGTGTGTTCAGTTCTATACATTTTCGGCTGGTTTGTCCCAAAATGTTTTAGGGATCGTTTTAGTGGATGGCATGAGCATAAAAAAAAATCTCAATCATCAAATTGGGTCGAAAGAGATGTCGAATTATTGTTTCATTAATGGTATCAAGTAACAAAAAAAAATGTGATCTATATTTTAAGGATTAATCTTAAAATGTGAGAACTGGTTCTGGTAACACTACGTTTGGAGCAATAGCGGATCTAGAATTTAATTTTGAGAGGGGCTTCATCCCGAAAACCTTTCTTGAAGTAATATTAAATGTAATTACACGAACAATAATACTTTAACAGATAATTTTTTAATATTTTTTCCATTAAACATGACTAAATTTTACCATTTGGAGGGGGGAGGGCATCAGCCCAAATGCCCTTCCCCTCAATAGATCCACCTGTGGTTTGGAGGAAAGTTGTTGGACTAGTGGACTAGTGAATAAGAGCGTCTAGATTTATTTAAACAAGTTACCTCGGATAAGTTATGACCACAGGCGGTTCCACGGAAAGGGCAAGGGAGGTATCGGGCAGAAGCCCCCCCCCCCATTTAAAGTATTACCATGTCTTCTGAAAAAAAAATATTAAAAAATTATCTCTAAAAGTATTACTATTCGTGTAATTACATTTAATAGGACTTCAAGAAGCATTCAAACACCATTTCGTGCAAGTAGTTAGTTTCTATCTTTTTCTTCCAAAGTAATTTTTGTTATATTTATATTTAAAAAAAAGCTTCCAGGCTGAAGCCCCTCCCCCCAAAATGAAATCCTGGATCCGCTAGTGGTTATAACTGTAATAGCTAGAATTAAATTTGTGTATTTATTTATTGTGTTATGATATTTTAATTTGTAGGTGACGTTCATCTTGATGCCAATGGAAATCGTTTGGGCAGCCACAGTGTCTTGGTGGTTTGGTGACATTGCATGTAGAATTGCTGCTTTTTTCAGAACGTTTGGCTTGTACCAGTCATGTTTTGTCCTAGTTTCCATCGGGATCGATAGGTAATCAAGTCATTCTAAACACAGATATCTGGAAAAATGTTTAATAAAAACTTAATAATGATTTATTAAAAAAATATCTTAAATGGATAATTAGTGATAATTGTAATTAAAATTAACACGATATAAAAATATATAAAATCCTCTATAAATTTATTTTTCTTAATACTGCTGCTGCAACCTCTGCAGTCTTGGCACACTGACTTAGGATGGAAGTCTCCACACGTCATTTGTACAGGGTGTTTCATGGTTAAGTGGCCAAACTGCAAAAATGAACTGAGGATCTCAAAACAAGAAAACATTTCCTCTGAAGGTATGTCCGCAAACGCTTTGTTTAGGAGATATTCAGAAATAAAAATTTTCGTTGTTATGAATTATTTACGTTATATGAAATAAATAAAACCTATTTGTTTGTTCTAACTACTTTATTAAGTAAATGTAAACATTAACATTCATAATAAATGTTGTTCCAAGTGATTTCCTAGAGCATTAAGACAGGTTCGGCATCTTTCTTCAACAGCTCCAGTGGTAGAATGGCACTTTCCTTCTTCGTAAGGAATTACGACTAGTATAGCCTTTTTGTTTAATATCACCCCAAACAAAAAATCCAGTGTCATGTGATATTAGCGTGTTGTTATTTTATTTTATTTGTTTGGTGTGACATTAAACAAAAAGTTTATGCAAGTCCGGTTATTTAAAGTTGTAATATATGCATAGTTAAATGGAAATCTAGTTATTTATTTTTTTTCCCGAATAACTCGAAAACTGACACGAAACAAAAAGTCTACGCAAGTCCGGTCAATAACCTTACTTCCTTACGAAGAAGGATAATTGATCCTTGTGAAACAATAACACATATCCAGCGTCGTCACTGGTGCTGTTAAAGAAAGATGCCGTGCCTGTCTTAATGTTCTTGGAAATCACTTTGAACAACATTTATGAATGTTAATGTTTACATTTGATTAATAAAGTCAATCCAAAATCCTTCGTAAAATACTCAATGCTCCCTACTTTGTCATAACATATAACGAACGACCTTAGTGTACCACATGTTTCCGATTTAGCTCAATCCAGATACCAATCCTTCCATAATAAACTCCTGAACCATCCGAACCCTCTTGTTTCAAACCTTGCTTCCTCTTCTATTCCTGATAACCCTCCGAGCCGTCTGAAAAGAAGATGACCTCAGGACCTTCTAATATAGAAATATAATTGGAGTGCTACCAATGGGTAGTTTCTTTTCACGTTGTACATGTCATGTTAATTAATTCATATTTACTTGTTTTTATCATTTAATACAGTTGTAAATTTCAATCATAAAACAATAAATTAATAAAGTAGTTGTCAAATAAATAGGTTTTATTTATTTCATATAACGTAAAAAATTCATAACAACGAAAATCTGTAGGTGTGAATTTCTCCTAAACAAAGCGTTTGCGGACATACCTTCAGAGGAAATTTTTTTCTTGTTTTGAGGTCCTTAGTTCATTTTTGCAATTTGGCCACTTAACCCTGAAACACCCTGGATAAATGACATCTGGAGACTTCCATCCTACGTCAGTGTGCCAAGGCTGCAGGGGTTGGGAAGAGTCTTGAACTGGACGCGATGTCTCCGATGTCAGAACTCTCTGCGAAGACCATTGAGCGTCTTATACATTTCTAGTCTAGTGGTTGACTTTTATGTTAGAAAATATGTCAAAGTATTTTCTAAAGACTAACGTCTTCTTGGAGCAAATCAGTTCTTCATTTTTGTTTTCTTTTCATAGGGTGGGATGTTGATACATCTCAATATATAAATTCATTTAATTTCTTTATTTTGTTATGCAAATGTATAAACATTATTAGAATATATTAGGGTATTGTTTCCAAGATTTAATTAAATTTACATGTTTAAAACTTAAATGAAAACCAAAAATAATTTTGATCCCTAGGTACTATGCAGTACTCAAACCCTTAAAGTTGTCTGCAGCGAATAGAAGAGGAAAATTCATAATTACCTGCGCATGGATGGCTTCCGCTTTATGCAGTCTGCCACAGGTAATATGTAAGTTGATTTAAATGTTTATTAATAATTTGGTAGCAGTCAAAGCCCTAGATGACCATATTCAAAAAATTGTGAAGTGAAATCACTTGGGCGTGGGGGAGAACCGCATTGGGACGCGAGGATCCGTAAGTAAGCGATTCGGGGTGGATTCGAATCCCATCTTCGTCAGCTAATATTTATTCGTATTGGTCCAACATAATCAATCCTGATGCTGTTACTTTGAAGTCCATGAGCATGGTGCATAAAATCCAGCTGATAAAAGACAAATATGAAAATATTTTTGAAAATTAGTTTCAACCACAATAAAAAACGAATCGTACAAATCTGGATCCTAAATGTCTTTCTAAGCATCTAATTAACTTTATGAAGTGATGAATTACGACACTATGACGAGCTTATCGAACATGCAATTGGCTTTTGTTTTAGCCATTCTGTTGGGTCTCAGAAATTATGAAAATATATTTCTAGCTGACGAAAGAACACTTACTATTAACTAGCAGAAGAGAAAAGCATGAAGCAAGGATTCATAGCTGGCGTCATGAATCCTAGGAAAAGACTAACATTATGTTTCTCCCGATTTCATTGGCGAATGGGTATTACTAGTAATAAATATTTTGTGATTAGTATTTTTAGTGTTAAATATCTTGAACAAGGAGATCCTACAATGTTTGTAAATTGGGTAGGGTTTTCTTATGGATATTTGTTTCAGGGCGTATTCGATCTTTGCTACGATACTGCGTTCATGCGTTCATCATACGTGACGTTGAAACTTGGAAGACGAGAAAAATAAAAAAATAAGTCGAAAGCTGAGCAGTTAGTTAAAAAAGGAAAGTATATTGTGAAAATAAATTATTTTATAACAGAGAGAAATCGAAGGGAAGCTATGAGAAGTATTAACTGCTTCACCTGATATTATGGCATTTATAAAATGGACACAATAGGCACAAAATGAACTATACCACAATTTCGCGGATGTCTACGATAATTACAGAAAAAGGAATTTAAAGCCTGTATTGAAGAGGGAAAATGATTATGATTTTTCTGTTGCAAAAAAAGCTGTTGGAATTAAAAAGCTATTATCCTTCTTACGATTGCGTTAAGGCTGATCTGGATGGAGTTGGGTTTTGACATCGTTATTGATAGAAGTATGTAGACAGCGATTGGCGGATTATGTATCGAACCTTCGGATTCGCTAAGTCTTTGTTATTATTCTTTATTTGTTTTATACATGATATAATACTTTTTAATAGTTGGAAAGCAATTTTTGTCAACCAAATGCTACATTAATATATCTTCAAAATTATTTTATATTAGTAAATTTCCGCACAATACTTGCCGTTCCCAACAATACTGCCATTTGGAGTTTTTCTATTGTCATAAACGGTAAGTCCAGTTCACTCAAAGAAGATTAGAATTCTTACGATGTTAATCCATTGCATGAAATCACCAACGGTAGAATCATACAATCACCAACGGTCTTTCGATTAAATCATACAATTATTTTAATTCTTCCGTTAATTATTTATCATATATTAGTTTATTATCTTTTTTCTGCCACTACCTTGCTTGCGTAGATTATCATCTGAAGAGACAGCAATTTCTATAATATATGCTATTTTCTTTTCTTTATCTGTATTAAAATGTCAGACCGATTAGGAAGACATTATGATCCGTAAGTACAGGTTGATTCCATTTTGATATTACGGATGGATATGTTTGACTCAGGACTTGTAATACGAATCATAATTACCCCTCAGTTCCAGCTTCTGAGTCATGGCTTGATGTATTACTTTAGCTGCATTGTAGTGCCTCAGTATTCCATACCTGCCAGTATTGTGACTCATGTGCAGAAGTTAGATGCTGAATTGACTATACTGACTTTTTGAATAGGCTACAAAGTCATTTATATTCTTTTCACAAATTTCCTTTCTGTATGCTCTTGTGGCTAGTGCCTGTTCTTGGTTATCAGGCAAGAGTCCTTTGATTTCTTCTTATTATTATAATATTAATAATTATAATCATCAAGCTTATTGATGTCACGATTCCAAATGACAATAATATAAACACAACCGTGGATGAGAATCTCAGGAAATGCCAGGAATAGGCGATTGAAATAAAACAATTGTACCATTTGAGAAGCGCAATGGTAACGCCAATTGTGATGTCACCAAATGGACTGATTCCAAAGACAACGGTGGCAGGTACCTAAGGCTTGGAGTTACCCTTTGGTGTGCTAAGAGAGGCTCAGCAAGCAATTCTTTTGTATACAACCAGAAAAAAATGTTTGAAAAAAGGTTGGATTTATCCCCCGCCTGCAGCTTCAAATCCACTAGTGAGAGAAAAATAAAGAAAAAAATATTTAGTGTATATGATACAATCTATGACCTGATCCAGTAGCATACACTACTAACTCTTCATAATATATATTTTATCAATAATAGATTTATTTTATCAACAATACAAAAATCATTTTTATAATCCAACCGGGAGATTACTGCATGGTTCGCCAGTGACTTTTGCATTAACATTCAGCTACTCCTTTTAATTTATTTTATTATAGATTACAATTATATAAGCCAAATTATAATTACTATTATTATTTTTAGACAATCATTTTTCACGTTGAGACACATCCTAATGTCACGTGGTTTGAACAGTGCATAACAATTAATTCTTTTTCATCATATGCACAAGAGTTCGCCTATTCATTCTTTGGAATGTTATCGATGTACTTGCTGCCGCTGATATTTATAACCTATTTCTACGGCTCAATATTCATCGAGATATGTAAAAGATCAAAAGATCATCATGTTAACTCAGGTAAAAATTTTAAAACAAAATATGATTACTTTTATATCATAGGATAGACTTATATTCCTAATTTATTATTTTAATTTTTAAGTATGTCTTCTGTACTCATATTTTTCTAGATAAGCCTAGTTAAATAATTTAAACGTATAAGAAGGTATAATGTAATTAGAAGGTCGTTACAAAAGTTTTTGTGAATAAAATAAGTTTTATTTAAATTTCAGTGTACAATCTACCCTATAAAAGACTTCTAAATATAGACTTCTGAATATTGAATAAATATATTGAATAACTTTAACCATCTTTCTAACAGAAATTGGATTTATATTCCGACAATAAATGTCCAATTATCAATTTGTTGTCGGAGTGACAACACACTCCTCCCTCCTCTGCCATGGCGATGTGTCTAGTTGTAAGGAGAGTAGGAAAAGAAATTAACACACCCCAGTTCTCAGATTTTTCCTTGACTTCAACAATGTAACAGGAGAGTTGTATAAATTAAATATCAATTTAGCCTGATCAGAGTGGGAAAATGTTACTCTTAATACATAGCACCAAGTATTTAACTCAAATACTAGTCCTTTCTGATTACCGAAGAATTTAATTTCTACTCCAGATGATGTTAGACGATCAACTGACTGAAGTAATGATTAATTTTCAGTAAAATACTTTGTACTCTTTACCCAACAATGATTCCGATAGCAAATTGAAAAGCTTTACTTTTTAAACTTCAGGCACTCTTCCGAGTTGATCAAACTAAGGCTTAGCATCAATAGAGAGATGGAACCAGCTCAAACAGTAAAAACATCCTCATAATTCCACCCAACACAAAACAATATTGGTTACCATAATTGAACTGTATGAAATAAAACGCTGACGTTACGATGCGCTAAATGTACACCTTTCTTCTACAGATCGAAGTAGTCCTTAGCCTTGACATGTCGTTAAGATGCACCAAATTTTCATCTTTAATATCTCAGAAAACAGGATGAAATGTTCAGAGAGATTTATAAAATGGAGTACAAGACATAGACAGTTGGTGTACGTATTAAAATGAAGAATTAGTCCGAGTTAAAAATGATAGATGACTCGTTTACATCATAGTCGAAATGGTATTCATGGAGCCTCTAATGTCTATTTTAATCTGTGCCACCACTTTTAGTGTGGTGTTGCTAGCAAATTATAAAGAAATATATTTTCATTACTTAGACATTGGGCGTTAAGATAGTGTAATACTGTATTGAGTTCCATAAAGTATGTACTAAAGTCATGTGAGTTTACCTAAAGTCGCAGTTGAATCAAGAGAAGTTGAGGAAAAAAAAACATGACACCTTGATCTACATTGTTATTTGCCTTATTTGACTGACCAATACAAATGGGTCGAATACTACCCTACTTATAATAAAAACATTTTGTGCATCAACATCATTAATATGAAAACTTGTCCGCTAAATTACAGCTGATAAGGGGTGCACTAAAATAGTGCCATGATTAAAATCCGTACATATATTATTACAGTAAGGCTCGAAATCGGTTTTGTACCAAATATAAGCTCCTGTCATGCTCAAATACCATGAATGGGGTACCGTTGGATTCAGAATTTCACGGGGGGTTAGCGAATGGTATTCTCCGCTTTTGTTTTTCTTTCTAAAATAAATAAAGTCGATACAAAAATTTTGCTAGGCTTCAATACTGAAACGGTGGTAGGTCTGTAGATCGATGCAGGACAAATTGGACCTTGAAGATTTTGATGCGTACAGCAAGACCCGGATAGTTCCTCCGTTTAAGTTCCCTGATAGTTCCTCCGGATAGTTCCCGGATAAATCCTGCGTTTTTAAGCCGAAAAAAGTGCCATTTTCGAGATAACGCAAGGCATGGGGTTCGCATCCACACGACCTGACGTTAATTGTAGTACTCTCATTGGATACATGTCTCATTTCGTCGACTTGAGGTCTCTATGATCGAGACAGGAAGAGTTTATATTATTTATCGATGATGTTTTTGATCGGTAAGCCATATCATCGTTAATTTTTCACCAAACTCAAGATTGAGCCACCAATTTCGAAGGCTTCCTTCTCCTTCAGGCGAGAAAAATATTCCAATCACCACGAAAATTCAGGCAAACAAGTTATGAAAAAAAAACTTTATTTGCGAATAACTAAAAAATTACACACTTTTCTCTGGGTTATTCCTATGATTATATAAAGCATTACTTAATTGTCTACAAAAGGAAAAAAAATCATTGAAATCGGACAATTTTTCGCAAAGATACAGCTTATTGAAATTTGTAAATATGTTGGTTCCAAACAAAAATGAAGATTTAAATTAATTTTGTTTCCTTTGTGGATTATATTTATGGATAAAGTAACAATTTAACAACGATTTCTTTATCTTTTGATACGTTGCATTATTTTATTTTCTTATTAATTTGGCATTTGATAACAATATGCTGTGCGAATTTTTCGAACGGGCCTACTAGTTATAGTTATTAGTATATCAGTATATTTATTTGCAAATGACAGTCTCTTAAAATGAATCACTAATTTGAATTCAAAATAATTTTACACAAAATATGAGACGAAAAACGAACATTGTTAACATTTATTATGTTTTTAAATAGAAACACCACTTCTAAAATAAATAAAAAAACACAGGCTAGCAAACATAGGAAGTAGTACGTATATTAAAACAAAATTAAGTCAAGTAGTTGTTCTCACAACATAATGTTTGGGAAAGAAGAAAAATGAATGCCTACAGAGCCTGATCAAGGTAACTCTGGACAAATAATCAAAAAAAAAGAATTCCTCAAAGAAAGACAAAAAAAAAAACATTGAAAATAACCGGTAGGCTGGGAGTATATGCGAATTCTACTCCGAGATCAAGAATGATGGGTATGGCATAATGTTAAAAACACGTGCATGAGAGGTAATTGTGGTAAACTGGCACAAGAAAATATGTTAAAATCCGGAAAGAGCACTGCCAGCAGTTGCACAATCAAGAAAAACCCTGGCATTGTAGAATACTTTACAAAAGGCTTCAATTTAATTTGATGAAAAATTTAATATCTGAGGGATCAAGGAAAACTTATCCAAGAGGCTCAAGAAAATTGAATCTGGAGCCTTTGGTTTCTCACCAAGATCCTGAACACGCTGAGGACCTTGATCCACAAGAGGTAAACATTCTGGATGTGGAAATAGCTGCCAGCATAATAGAAGGCCCCAGGAATGGAAAACCCACAATCGGGGCTGTTTAAAGATGGGGAACGCCTTAGATACAAACTATTACAAGAGATAGCGGTCTAACCTAATGTGTTTGCAATGCTTGAAAAAACACAAATTTCTGGCAAAATATGGTTTTGTTTAAAATCTTAAAGCCAAAAATAAAAAACCTTAGCATTACCATCTAGTCGACTTCTCTTATTTTCTTGATTGGTTTTGTTAATTATTAGATTATTTGTCATTGATTTTAAATTTTTTGTTTAGGTTTTGTACTTTTCATTATTGGGGGGCGGGTGGGGGTGGAGGGATGAAATTCTCGTCTCCCTCCCACTCTCCTTGATGTTTGCACCTATGATCATTTAACAGTATTGTTGTTGGCTTATAAATTAACTTAATTTTAAAATAAAGTTACTTCTATACAATAAAATTTATTTCAGCAATTATATCTCCTTCATTCTTAGAATCATAAATATGTTTTTCTAATATAATTTATTTCTTTTTTAGACAAACTCAGAAGGAATAACTTAGCTTTCTTTGGAAAAGCCAAAACCAGAACGCTTAAAATGACCATTACAATAATATCTGCTTTTTTTATATGCTGGACACCGTACTATATTATGGCTTTTTGGTAAGTGAAAAATAAAATGTCCTAACCATGCTTTAGCATTTTATATTTTAAAGTGTGAGTAGATAATCAAAACTACTGTTTCAATTAAATTTAAGCAATGATTCATGTAATCATCCGAATCATGTAGCTGGTCATAAGTAGATTAAAATGTTCTATATTTAGACTTAAATTATTTAAAATTACTTTTTTAATTCGTTGATGAGTTTGATCCTAACTTCACTGTTCTATAGGTAGACAAAACTGGTCTTGGGCATGGTTTTAATAAAGCCTATTCAATGACAAATTACGCATATTGTTTTTTTATTTGTAACGGTTAGTATGAATACTTATCATCAAGTAGTGGAATTCAATTTGAATTACAGAATAGTGAGCATAAACGTGACTTTCATAAATGATAGAAACAGGGGAAATAGACCAAGTTGTTTCAGAAAGATATCAAGTGTTGGAAAGTAGCAGTTCATAATTCATATAAATAAGTGCATTCAACTTCTGGTGAGTTGTTAATCTGTCCTGCCAAATATTATAATCAAAATTATAAAATAAATGTTTAGTAAAAATAAAATAATAAAATTATTAGGCAGCTCAACTGTTTTGAGTTGCTGATTCACAAAGATTACCGATCAGTCCAATAGAAAATATTAAAACAAACAAAAAGAAATAAAAGAATAATACATACTTACCTACTTACTTACTTACTCTAATCTCTAACTAATCTAATTACTTACTCGTCCACTGCCGAGTAGAGTGAGGCTTCCGTCAGTAGAGCTTGATCCACACATAGGATACCATGTTTCATGTCCTGACCACATACCTCTTGTTTTTAGAAAGACTTCTAATCGCCTCCCTTAATCCCAAGTCCACCGCCTTCTCCTGTGATGCTTCTTCTATTTTGCGGCTCCTAATTCTGTCAAAGGCCTTAGTCAGATCAACGAAAAAGGCAAGCACTTGTCTATTTATCTGTTCACCTTGTCTGTTTCAATTTCGTTCTCTGATATTTGCCTCAGGGTAAATATCAGGTCTTGTGTGCTTCTATTGGGCCTGATCCATGCTGCTCCTCCGTTAACAAGAACTCGGCAGTTCAGTCTCGTCGTTCCTCTGAGCCTCTTTTCAAGGATTCTCTAGCATAGACTGTTGATGGTACGCTTAGGAGAGAAATCCCTCTATGGTTCTGGCATTCCCTGTTGTATCCCTTTTTGAAAATTGGGATAATAATGCCGACTTCCCAATGTTGGATACTACTTTTTTCTTCCATACTAAATTTATCAGATACTGGAAGATTTCTATACCCTTGGAACCCATATTTTTCAGCATCTCAGGAAATATTTTATCTATTTCCATTCTGACTTTTCATGCTTGTTTCTCGGACGAGCAGGTGATGGGCCTGCTGTGCCCAGAGCCTGATGGTGGGTATGCCTCCTCAAAACTGACAGGCCAGGTCTCCCCTGCTTCACAGCTGGTTTGGATGGTAATATTATAATGTATGGCAGATAGGTCGCTACTGATCTGAGATATTGCATGTTATTGAAGTGCACCCTCAGGCTGCACAGGATCCCTCCTCCTTTCTCAACCGGGCTTGGGACCGGCTTCGGCGGAGTTTAGTATAATACATACATACCAAATATTAAGACATTTTCCCGTACTTTGGATTGACAAAGCAAAGTTTAGGATTAATTCATGTGATGAAGGTTTTTTAGGAAGTCTAGAATACAAATTTCCACTCTGAAACTGGTTGGTTCTTTTCAACATCCAGCTCCTCCAAAACATTAATGGTTGCAAGAAAGATGGTTTCTCTACTTTTGGACCTGAATCCTTTCATTGAAAATTTCTTCTCACCAAATTTCTCTATATTATTAATGAATCAATAAAATTCTACTAAAATTATTAACACATAGTAATGAATGAACATGTTGTATGTTAATTATGCAATAAGTAATACTTTAAGATTTTTCAAATATTCTAATAAATAAATTTGATTTATATAAAAGCTCTGTATCATTTATTAGTTATGTAAAAACCCTCCCAAAAAAAAAAAAATATATAAATAAAGCACTTGAAAACATCAACAATACAACACAAATATTGAAAATTTCCCCTCACCAAATTTCTCTATATTATTAATTAATCAATAAAATTCTGCTAAAATTATTCACACATAGTAATGAATGAGCATATTGTATGTTAATTATACAATAAGTAATGCATTAAGATTTTTAAAAAAAAGTTTAAAAACCAACTTGGAACATTCACTTTATGAGGTCTGAAGACCTTATAAGATCTGGATCTGAATTCTCTTTCTTTTTGATGTTTACCACTGCCACCATTATATTATGCTTTTAGTAATCACTGTAGCTTTTATATAAATCAAATATTCTAATAACTAAATTTGATTTATATAAAAGCTCTGTATCATTTATCACTTATGTAACCCTCCCTCCCACAAAAAAAATATAAATAAAGCACTTGAAAACATCAACAATACAACACAAATATTAAAAGAATTATTGAAGGACGTTAGACGACTGTTCTACATATCATGGGTGATAAATATTCAGGACGCAGTCATTAAAAAGTTTTTATTGGTGCCGACGTTTCAACCCAAACATGTGGGTCATCATCAGGGCTGAAAATGTTTTAATACAATCAGAGATATAATATTATACGACAGATAATGGTTAATAATAAAAAAAACTAGTGATTGATAATAAATGAAATCAACGAATGAAATATTTAAAAAGTTATACAAGGAGAGAGAATCACTTTATTATCTTAAAAGGGTCTGCCCAATTACATTGGGTTGCTTTAAACACAGCATAATTATTAATCGCTACAGACAATCATAATAATGTATATGACCAATTTATAAAAAATGTAATATTTTCTCTTAGTAACCGTGTTTCGAGCACTGAAGGTATTGAAATACTGACACTTTGGTAGGTAAGTAAAAGGGTTGATGGAGGATTTCCCAAATGTGCTTTTGAAGATAGCAAAAGGCAGGGAAAACATAGTCAGAAGGGGAAAGTGGGTAACATTTTGTTTGTAGAATGCAAATAATTTGCTGACTAAATTATACATTTGCGTTATTTCTTATAATTAATAAAATTATGACTAGTAATGGCTAGTAATGAAATGAACATAAGTAAAGCCAAACAATATAAACATAACATAGTTTGATTAAAAGTATACAATACTTATCCAAATAATGTTTATAATACAGGCAATTGTAATGGATTGAAATGATAAATAGTACAATATTTTAAGCATAACAATCTGATCATAAAAAAATCTATTATATTAAGAATTACATAGTTCTAATAGTATAAATATAAACATATCTGTGCCAATTTATAGTATAAATTTATATTGAGAATAAACCTCGTATGTATATATATAATAAACGTAGGAGTAGTTTACGGTCAACCTCTGTATGTTGACGGGGAAATGGGGAAAATGAAAAACAATTTTTAATCATTATAGACTATTGTTTTAGGAGGTGAAAAATGTTCGAATATGTATTGCAGATCTTTTTTTGTCTACTATGTTGGGTTTGCAAAATCAAATGTGTGATTAAGGGTTACAGCGTGCTCTGCTAGTTTCGAGGCGAGCAGGTTTCGTGTGGATGCTGTATTTGTGTTGATATATACGTTTTTTTAAGATAATTTTTTGTTTCTCCAATATAAGAAGAATTATAGTTTGGGCTAGAGCATCTGATATGGTATATTATATTTGATTGTTGTAGGAGCGGAACAGGATTTTTAAGTTTGGTGTACGGATTTCTTAATTTATTGTTATTTTTTAAAACTATTTGTTATATGGGGGAATTTGGAAATTAAAGCTTGTTTTTTATTTTTTGAGATAGGACCGGGATGTATGGAATGGATCTGTATTGGCGAATCATGGTGGGGTATTGAAAGCAGTTTGTGGGAGACTGGTGAAGATGAGGTTTGGATTTATTTTTAATTAGGTATTTTATTATGTGATTTGGAAAGGTGTAGGATTACAGGATTTTGTGTAGTTTAGTTACGTTATTTTCGTGGAATTGCGGTTCGTCTAACTGACTGCAGTGTATCAGGTTTTTAGCTTCACTGATATTTTGGTGGTAAGGATGTTGGGAAAAATAGTTTAGGAAACGCGTGTTATGTAACGTCCAATGGACATAAACCTGAATTTTTATTTTCTTATATTTAATTTTTAATCCTCTAGTTTTGTTGAGAAAATATTCAATGAATTAGAATCGTATAAAACCGATAAATATTATTTTTATTTTGATCAACAAACACATTAAAAGTATTGTAAATTAGGCAAAGTCTTCAAAACCTGTTTCATACCTACAATTAGTTTAAACCTCTCTCGTTGAAGATAGAACGGTGTTTTTATTAAGTGATCTGAAGGAAATAACGTCGAAACTATTCATTTTTTATCTGATATAATTGATTATATGTAAGAACTCTCTCATTATTCATGCTGTATTATTCTTCGTTGATCTATGACATTTTTTTGAAGTTCACAATTTTGATGGACCAGGTATACTTGCCATAAGGATGGATACTTGCCACAGTTCCCAATCACCAAAAACGACCAATTTCAGAAGCTACATTCATTAATTTGAAGAAAAAAAAAATCTGATAAACCACAAAGTAGACAAAGAAAAGATCTACAATATATATTCGAACATTTTCCGCCTCGTAAAACAATTTTCTGTAACAATTGAAATTTTTTTTCCATTTTTCCCATTTCCCCGTCGACGTACAGAGTTTCAACGTGAACTACTCCTACCTTTATTATATATATAAATACATATGAGGTCTATTCTCAATATAAATTTATACTATATATTTATATTTCATTTGTCGATTTAATTTATCATCAATCACTATTTTTTATTTATTATTAACCATTATCTGTCGTATAATATTATATCTATGATTGTATTAAACATTTTTCGGCTCTGATGATGACCCACATGTTTGGGTTGAAACGTTGGCACCAATAAAAATATTTTAATGACTGCGTGATGAATATTTATAATACACAAATATTTAAAATTTGGTTCTTCAGCTGGTAATGCTAGGTAAAACATTTTAAAATACATTTTTAAGTAATAAAATTTTAATATATATTATTTATAAAAATTTAAAGAAACTATTCTTCTGTTGACACAGGTACTGGGTAGACAGAGATTCTGCTTCAGAAGTGGATCAACGTGTTCAAAAGGCACTATTCTTGTTTGCTTGCACGAATTCGAGTATTAACCCCATTGTATATGGAGCTTTCAATATCCGCAAACGTAAGAATGTTTCAAGAAGAACAAGAGAGAGTAACACATGTTCAACAGAAATGAAACTTCAACAAACAGGACAGAAAAGCCCAATTCAATGAGTGAACCTAGTCTTGATTTGATGCTCTATTTTATAACAACACCGCTGAAAAACAGAATAATGATTAATTTCTTCATTACATTAAAAACTATTTGAACTATCTGAAGGAACCTGAATAATGGAAATTCTTTTATTTATTCTTTCATTCCATCCTTACAGAGATAATATATTAGTGATGATGTGGTAATTGAAACCGGAAAAAAAATATCAGAAAATAAATTATGTTTACCTAGAGGTTTGGAGAGCTGAGAAGATATCACAAATATTTGTTCCTACTATTCTGCTATAATTTTCAGGGTAAAAGTAAAAAATAAATATATACATAAATATGTATATAAGTATCATGATTATTCTGTAACTATTCATGAATTAGAGGGGCTATAAATATTAACCTCATTAAAATCATGTATTTTTAAAGTTTGAATAATTAAAAATAATTCATACCACAGCAACCATCAGAAATGTAAAAATAGACCATGTGAGTAATATTTATGTTATCGGATTTTAATCATTTGCTTGAAATGTTGATAACTGACATGTTATCATGCATATGATGACATGAACTTAGGTAGTGTAACAAGAATTTGATAAATTTTTATTTTATTAGTTGCAAAGATATTTTTATAAAAATTAGAAATCCTGATAGTTTCATTTTTTTTTTTTATTATATTTTATTGTAAGTTAGCAGTGCTGGCCTTAGGGTCAGGCAACCAGGGCTATTGCCCAGGAGTGCCGAGCTAGAGCTAAGGGGGCCAGCCATTTGTTATGAATAAAGAAAAAAAGTAAAACGTATGAGAATAATTTATTTTAGCCTATTAATAAAGCGACTGAATTAGAGACATATTGAATTAAATAAAATTGAAATGAAATAGATTACGAATTAATCTTGATTGATGTATTATATTTTTTGGTGGGAGATGATGACATTGCCCGAAGGCATAAAATGTCTAAGGCCGGCATTGAGAGTTAGTCAAAGTATGCTCTTACAGATTCAATAACCTTTGCCTGTCTGTAACACAAAATAAAAAAAAAATTCCAGTGAAATAATAATACAGCTAAAAGTGGAGTTCAATAATTGATATTATTATCATTAATATCTGGGCTATCTAGAGATTCTGGCAGAAATTTTAGAAAATTGGATAACTATGTGGAGTAGGCATTATTGAAGAAAGACAAGAAGAAGTTGTGATCATTTTTGTTTACTTTAATAGTTATTTCATTAAAAGCTTTGTTGAGCTTTACCTATCCATAAAAAAAAATGGAATTTCAATTAAAAAATATTTGATTCATTCCAACGAAACCTGAAGTTAATAAAATAAAAATAATGCTTGATATTTTGTCAAATTTCATCGCTTTCTGTAATGTAGACAACTGGTTTCCAATATTCAATTCAAAATTATTAAAATAAAAGTTGCTCACATTCAGTTGTGGGTAGTCTGCAGCTGTACCATAGGATAATTTCTTTCCTAAAAAATCCTATGTTCCTCCAAGGAATGAATATCTGAAAAAAAAAATGCATTGTATGATGACAATATATGAATTATGATAATGCCCTTTATGCAAAAAAAGAGGTCTACAAGAAATTTATTAACAACCTAACACTATGTATATAAAATACTTATAAATACATGTTTAAATCAATATGTTGTCAGTTCAATCTTGGCCAGGCTTTATAATGTTCTTAATTGAGATTTTATCTTTCCACAGGATTTTAACAAATGTACAATGATTCTATTTTCCAGATATCGATTTTAATAGCTAAGAAACCACAACACAAAACTTTTTCATTTTGCTGTACTTTTCACACCCTATTCTCATTTAATGATATTAATAAAAACATTAAACATTAGAAGATTTTCAAAACTATTAAATTACATTATCATAAAAATATATAATTCCTAGATTTCTTCATTTTCAGGCCATTTATAATGTGATGTGATATCTGGTTTTGTATACTTTCAAAAGTCCATGTTAATCCAAACAATTTGGAAGTTCACAAATACATGCAGAAGTCATGATAGACTTGAACGACAATGATCACGACTATCAATTTCTTCATAATTATGGCTTTAAATTTAAATATTTAAACAGTTTACATCAACAGTATGTAATTTACAATAAAGATTAAGATAAAAAAGGACAGAGATTGGAAATGGTAAATTATTAGGCATAATAGAAATTTCAATATGCAGATGGTAATATTGGAAATGTAATTTATATACCCAATATGATGTGTTTTGTAATCACTTATATGTATATAATACATTAAAACGACTCATTCAATAAGTTCCTCCACCAAGCTTAGATTATCAGTGATATTTTTTATATTTTATTTATTTTTTTAACCAATGAAACTGATTCAAGTTTAATTATTTATTTAGATTTAAGATCAATACTAAATGTTACTTTTAATTATTTTATTTGATGTATAATAATTTTTATTTATTTTAGTTATTTGTAATATTTTTTATTTTCCATGTAACAACTAATTTTATTTATATAATTTTTTTGTTATTTATATAAATAAAATTATTTCTGTTTTATGTTTGAATTCCTCATCCTATTTTACAAAAATTAAAATTAAATTAAATTAAATTAAAATTAAAAATCTTGTTTTTTTTCGTATCTGGGTGACGTAATGTTTGCTAAAGATATGTAAATATAAAAATTGCATATACTAACTGCGGAAACTGAGAATCCTTGCTCAAACAATATCTAAATGTAATACTACCAATCTTATATCAATATTTGCAAATTTTAGTTATAAATATTAATAATTAAAAGTACTTAATTAAAATATAAGAAATGTTATAATCATAAAATATTTAAATCTAAAACAATTATAAACAGAGTAATCCGATTTTTAATGGCTATGTACTTACTGTTACAGGTACTGGTAATTTTGGAGGATTAAATCCACCAAGTGGGCCTATTGGTCATTTTGTCAAATCTAGGTCAACCAAATAAACCTATTTTTCCTTTATCACGAAATGATAGGATTTGAAACAATAGAAATTCATTCTTTTCTTAATGAAATCCAAAACAGCAGACTGTTCGGTGAGGAATGATTCATTTAGATTCTGTATAAGTCTAGTAAGCTATATCCATGTAGTGATTGAAGACTATAATAAGATGAGGGAAGTTTATGTAGCTTGACAACACATTCTCATTCATACAACAAACCTTTCAAGGTACAATTGCCTATTGATACTCCACTTATGAATCAAACTTCTACCTTTTTTAGGCCTCATAGTCACTTAGTTCTAGAAGAGGAGGGTATTTTATTTAAATTTTTTGGCTGTGTTAGCTCAGCAAACTCCCTCCATACACGGTTTCTCCTCTCCAAGTCAGATCAATGGATTACTGCAAGAGCCGAGGGTGCCCATTTCTCTCCCTCTCCCTAAGGTTGATGGCTCCCCCCCCTCAAGAAATTTTATTCCTCTTCCCTTCTTAAAAACAGTGCAAGAATAAGTACAATTTAAAAAATCGTAGACGATATACAATTACACAATATGTGGTCTATTTCATGTTTTCTCGTAGTCTACAGATAGCGCTTTATATTTAATCCATAAACTTTGGATAAGTATGTTGCCCAAGATATCCTTGAAAGAACTTAGTGAGCATTTCTAGGGTAGCTTTAATCATTTAACTTGAATGATATCATTCTATGTTCAGAGTGTAATATCTGAAGTGACCGCCCATTCTAGATAAGGACTATATTCATAAAATTTACATGAAAATTCCTATATTTGAAAATAAAAATTGCCTAATCAAAGTGCCCTATGAAACGTGGTCATTCAGTCTAGAATATAGAATACTTATACTTTATTAAAGCGGAGCAGTGAAGTTAAGTTACTAGGGCATTGTCCTACTGCACTAACTATCTCCAGGGTCCAGCTGTGGTAGATAATTATTTATCCTGTTATCTCAGCCGTAGATCTACCCTTGGCACAGCAGACCTTTCTGTGTCACACTCAACATCTATAAAGTGAGTAATCTTAATTAAGGGAAAACCTGGTGTTTGAGTGTGATTCTGGACAAATAACCTCCTGGCACAATCCTTGGTCTAGAAAGAAAACTTTTAACAAAGTACTAAACCAAGAACCTTTGTGTGTTTTAGTGGTACAGTTTTTTTTAATATATATTACTAAATGAACAATAATAAAAATGAAATACAATTAAAATAAAAAATCTGTTATGACAGATGATATGTCAAAAACTGACATTGATATGTATTGAATTATATTTCCAATTCTATTTCTTAGTATATTAAAACTATTATAAAGATCTAATTGAGTTTCCTTATTTAGTAAATTTTGAATCTAAAACATTTGTTGAATAATGAGGAAAAGGACAAATTATTCTTGCATATCGGTAAATAAAAATCATAGGTTGACTTAATACAAATTCTATTGAATCTATTTTTTTTTTTTTTTTTTCTTGACATACTTCATCCTAGAAGAACTCCAGAAATCCATTTCCAATGTTAAACATTTTTTTTCTTGAGGGTCCAAGTTTCAGAACTTAATAGCATTATACTTCCCTGCTGATACTAAAAATCAATTTATACAGAGTTAAGATCAACAATATTTTTAATCATTTTATTAAATGTGTTATTGTGGTAATTTCACAGTATTGAGTAATGGAATGTTTTACTTTTAAAGTATTTAAAAGTATGTAATAGCTAAGACCTCTTTCTGAATAGACATACTCATTAATATTAAGGTTGAACAAATTATAAAAAACGTTATTGTGTTTTGGGAAACATTTCATATTGAAGTAAAGGATAGGATTTTAACTAATGACTAATTCGGCCTCTTCATTCACTTATAAAAAATATATTAGAAACATTAGGGTAATGTTTGATCAATATCTGTCCTGCAATAATCACATTTCCCAAATAATCCCAAAACTCATTGCTATCCAACCAGTTCCTGAGATTCTGTTATTCTATGCTCTTTAAAATCTGTCAGCTTCTTTTTTCCTCTTGAGATCAGATTAAAAAGATTAATGAATTCTTTCATTAGATATATCTTTGGAGTCCCCAGGTGCTCCCATGTCAACAGTTGCTATACCAAGTTGAAGTGGCTCTATCCAGTTTTCCGACAGAAATATTTCCTAGTTTTATTCATTTAAACACTATTTATTTTTGCATCTCCTCAGCAATCAATCTTCCAAATATATATAAAAATAATGTTTTCGTATTTTAGAGTTGTCAGCCACATTTTATCGTTATCTTACAGATACCTATTATTATCCATATTGCTTACTTGTACAAATATGTAAACTTATTCAAATGCATTCATCTATAATTTCATATATCTACTAGTGCTTGTTCTTTATCTTAATTTTAGGGTTAGATAACTTCATAAATTTATTTATTTTTAATTGTTTTCTAATGCCAGACAACTGTCATTTCATTGTTAATTGTAGTTATTTTGAGGGTACTAAACGCCCTCGCATAAAATTTATTTCCTTTTTCTTCTATTAAACAAATTCAAATAACAATGATAAGTTCATGAAACAAAAGATAATAGGCACATAAAAATTATGTTGTTTTTATTTTTCTACTTTATCCTACTGCATTAAACAGATTAACGAAGAGACAGGGTTTGAAATGAGAAGGGAAAGAGAGGGATAAAACAAGATTGAGAGTTCCAGAAATGAAAAATATTCATTAACTATTAATGTTAAGTAAAGAACTATTAAAGGATCAGAAGAATGGGATGTAGTTCACTGTCGATAAATTAAGGACTAAATTTTAAATAACGTAGGAATGAGTTTGTGAAGAGAATCAATTGTTGGGAGTGAAACCAAGATAGTATTGTTGAAGCAAAGAGAGAAATGACCCTTTGGAGAAAACATTAGGGAGGAGAGTATATTAATTAGTAAATTATATTTTAAATTTATAGATTTTAGAAGAGAGCAACTAAAGAATTAGGTAGATATAAGATATAGAAATGGTACTAGATTTTTATTGAAGAGACATTGGTAGGGGTTCGTAGTCATAGGAAGTACAAAGCAATAATAAATAAATAAAATTTATTTTTATTTCCTTTGTACTGACATTTTGGCCTAAGCAAAGATTAGATGAGATATAAATATTGAGAAAATATGTTTTATATTATATATAAAATAGTTATATGTTATCTTTTCTTTGCTTAGCCCTGAAATGTTGGCACAATGATAATAAAAATAAATATAATTTTTAACCTCAACTAACTTCTCTTAAACACAATATTTTAACAGTCAAAAATTATTCACAATCATGACTCTATTTATCTTTGAACTAAGAGTAAACAAACATAAATTGTGAAATAAAAGTTAGTATTAGTATAAATAAAGTAGTAACTTAGGATTAAATTGATGAAAGTAAGCCCTGTAAGAATGCCAGCAGATATGAAACAATAAAATACTTGATTTTGCCTCGTAATATTGAAAAAGTCATCTTATGTAATGTAGTATCATGTATGTTCTATTTAATTACAAAAATGCATGTTCAATGTATGTTTTAAAGCAAATTGTGTTGACCAATAATGAAGTATGCTCAAACCTATATTGTTATTGACCTGAAAATTCCTTTGAAGACATTAAAATGGTCCCATGACTAAAATCAAACTTTAAGAAACTCTTACTTTTAATTTCAGGTGAACTAATTATTGTAGTTTTCTTACAGGGTTGCTTTGCTCGTGCCCCAAATATCCAATAATAATCAAATCAAAATAAACAATAACATGGTGTTTAACACATATCAACAACTGGTTAACATAATTTGCTTTAGAACATAAAAAAATTGTGTAAATTTGATTAGTCTACCCAATAGATTACTCACAAGCTGTATACTACATCACTTATGACAAAATCAATGAATTAAGTTCAACATTAAAAGCCAAAAGATGAATCCAGTATCATACAAGATGTTATCTAATATTATACATATAACGCCTAATTTTACTTATTTAAGCTAAACCTTAACTTTATGATCAAAGTTGGGTTTAAACTTTCAACTGGAGGAAAAATAAGTATTTCTACACTCAATGTTGATAAAACATTTAGTTACAGCATTGCGATAAACAATATACAATTAAACAAACACCATTAAATAAAAATATGTACATTGAAGAAATGAAAAACTTTAATTTCCACATAAATCTTGAGGAGTGGTAAACAAAATTACATTTCACTTTTCATCACATGAATACAAGAGTTAACCAAAACAATATTGTTTTAAACGTTAACATGAATGTTGATTTAAAATTTACAGAATTTTACAAATTTTTGAATTAAAATAACTTAGGTCTAAATTGGACTGAAAACAGGGATTAAATAAACTGCCACACATACGAAAAAATCTAAGATTTATATATTATAATAACCACTGTAATAATCGTTAGTACTTTCCAATCATAATAATAACAAACAAAGAATAATGAATGCAAAACAATTATTAACTAAAGCTTTAATTTGAAACTTGACATTCTAATAAACAAAGATGTATAACCTTATTAACAGATAAACAGTGCTTGACCTACCAATGTTGTAAATACTAAAACGAAATAAATACAAAAAAAACAACTAAAAATGAGATTAATATTTTTAAACATTTTTGATTAAAAATTTAAAGCATGAATTATAATAAATGAGACACAATAAACATATTTGGTATTTTTTTCTGGTCGAAAAAGTATTAAGTAATCAACACAAATATTCAATATTTTTGGGTGAATGGCAACAGTATTGTTAATATAGAAATAAATAGTAATATATATTATATTTAGAAATCTTGGAAAATAAATAAAACTAAGAGAACTTAATTTATTTAGAAGGAAAACACTTTCATACTACATCATTTATAGTATTAATATTAATACGTACGGAAAAGTATATGTAATTATTGGAATTAAATATTTTAGATGAGAAAAGTATTTAATTCTAGTCAAATGAATCAGACAGAACGAAATAAGAATCCTGCGCTCTAGATGGCAGGAGTTGGTACTTGTTCCCGCTCGAGTTACATTACCCAAGATTCAAAGTGAATCCAGCTTCATACTCCAATCGGTTCTGCTCTCAGCAACCACGGATTTCTTAAGGATTTGATGTATTCAATTTAATGATAGAAAATAAGTTTAAATTCTCGTTTCTTTGACTCTTAATATTTAATATTTAATTATTCTTAAATAAATTTTCAAATGTTGTTTCATGAAATAATGAAAGTTTTAGCTGAGACCGGTTAGCAAACGTTATCTTTTAGTTGTCACTACATATTTGTTTGTGATTATAAGTCAAAAGGATGATATAAATGATAATTAATATTTTCGAAAAATATGATAATGCTTTTAAAAGCAATTAGTTTTTCAAACTAATGGAAAATTCAGGATTCAACTCAAATTCACTTCCGCCTTCAACGTTGGTTGTTTTCTCTCAAGCTGGAAGTCTTTCAGATGCTCTGAGGATGCATAGACCTTTCAGTTCAGCATTCACTTCAAGGGTGAGTTAAAATTTTGAGATTTATATTTTTGCTCAAAAATTCAACTCTTATTGTTGATTTTTATAAAACATGTTTTTAAAAAATAATTTTAAGATTTACATTGAATTCATTGTACTTTTTTTTGTCAGAGGCCGATTAAGTAACAACATTGATTTTCATTGCACAAATCGTCCAGTATTTTGGTTATGAAGTTTAAAGAATTGGTCCTAAAACTTATTATTGTTCATTTTTATTTATTTTTCAATTATAACAAGATTATCATTTATAAAACCTGAGACCGATTATCATTTCAGAGGCCATTAAGTAACAACATTGATTTTCATTGCACAAATCGTTCAGTATTTTGGTTATGAAGTTTAAAGAATTGGTCCTAAAACTTATTGTTGTTCATTTTTATTTATTTTTCAATTATAACAAGATTATCATTTATAAAACCTGATAATTTGAATTCTTCGATCCGTAATTTAGTGGTTGGTCATTTTTTAATTTTTGGAATTTCGATTACTATCATTATAATAATATTGGAATCGTACTGAAATATTTGAAGAAAAGCATCTCAACCCTTCTATGTCCGTTTATCAATGATCCTTGAAGTTAAGCATCTGGATAAAAATATTTTGTAGGTCATTATTTGTTACAAATAAGTTTGAAATTGTTGGAACAAACATTTATCATTTTATTTCGTAACATGTTTTATAGTCAATAATTCCAAAGCAAAGTCCGTAGGGCCGGCCTAGATTTTTTTTTTATTTCAATTTTATTATTTAATCCAAATATAAGTCTAGTTATATAATATATTAATTACTGACAATTAGATGTAAAGTATATTCTTTGACACTCAGCTGTCCCTTATCACGGCTCGGCATGATGAACGCTTGTCAAACCTAAATAATTATCAAATCAATCAATATTTTAATCTATTGAACGTTATTTTTCTAATATTTAAAATAGACTTAATTGGATGTCTTGTAGAAGAAATATATATTTTTTTCAAATATATTAAGCTGGTTTCAAATAAAATCAAAGAAAAAGCTGATTTAGAAACTTGACAGCTTCGAAATTTGAAGAAAAAAAATAAAATAAAAACTTCGACACGATTTCCACTTATTATTCAGATAACTATTTATTTTCTACATATCTTAACAATAAAACCTTCGGGATTAGAAAAGACGAATGTTTATTAAAATTATATGAGATTTGAAATAATCTTATTACGAGAATATTTTATTTATCTGTTTCAATATATATTTTTTCGTTTACATTAAAATCGCGTCAAACTTAAGAGATGTTTTTTGGAATAAATGATACGACAAGTAGGTACCTGCGATATTCAATAAATGTCATACAAATATTACAATATTTTTAAATATTATTTTGATTACTTTTTCTTGTAAATTTATATTTTTGAAGATTCATTGTATTCGACTTAATTATCATACAAATTGCACAACCTAGTAAAAAATGTATTAAATTTCAGTTTATTTACTAGATTGATATCTGCAAGATCTCTGGATGTTTCTTTGCCAGTTTTGTAACTATAATCTAGAAACTATCGCACCGCTAAGCGGTCAAATTGTTCGTTTGTTAAAGTTTTTTTCTAAACTTAAAGATAAACGAAAACATTCAATGGAATCAGCGTTATGATAACATAAGAATCAATAGAAATAGGGGATTCAATTTATATGACCTCGACTGAATATATAATAATATGTTGTAAAAATTAATTGTCTTACTAGAAAAATTTTCTTCTTTAAAAGTAGAGGTATGTTTGTAAGTAGAACTATTTAAGTGTTTCCCTTAAGAAGTTAGAGGGAGGTATGGTCAAAAATACTATATTATATATTAGTGTATTTTATTACATTGTCCAACGTTTCGACCTTCGTTGTATGTCTTCCTCAGGGCATTCAGTCAGGAATTGTTATTGGCCGTATGGCGACTGGTTGACAAGCAGTCACCATACGGCCGTCAACAATGCCTGACGGCACCGTATATAATACACTATTATATAATATAGTATTTTTACCGCACCCCGGACTAACTTCTTATGAAATTTAATCCACGGCCCACCATCTCCATATCATTATTTTTATTTAAATTTAAATTATTTAAGTTTTTTTTATTGACGCCCAATATTAAAATGTTTAATTTAATTTAATTTAATTTTTTAACTCATGTGATATAAATAAATCACTTCATACAAACAACTACATTTTTATTATTTTTTTAACAATATCATTATTGAAGCACTATTTTAACCATTTTATTACCTACCGATTTAGGTGTCGATCAATTTTCCTTTCTTCTGATTTCTGAAATATTTACAAATATGTATGTTTTACGCCTTCGAAGCCCCAACAAACAAAAAAAGAAACAAATATGAAGTTCTATTGCACTTAAATATTAATTTTGAATTTAATCAAATGTTAAATCATTGGAAGAACAGAATGCTAGAATAAAATAAAATCCTAGTTTAACGGTAATTATTTTAATATGAACAAATTTTCATTAATTTTCTATTTTATGGCGAACAATAATATTTAGGTGGCTTCTACTTTAATACTTGCGTTCGTTATACTAGACTCGCTTTAGTGATTTGATTGAAATAATTATATGAATTTTGTGACGTATTACTTAGTTTGTGCTCTGTCTTAACTTTAAATATTTACGTTTTCGTGAAAATAATTTAAGCAATCAGTAGGCATCTTTATTTTAAACGTAAATTCTAGTACGAAACATTAAGTTTGTCACTGATAAATACATATCAATCCCTATGACGGAGATCTGAGAGAAAAACACATTTTCTTGACCACTATACGTGAAAAATATTTTTTTAAATAATTATTTTTAATTTTTTTATATTTATAAATAAAATTTGTTTTTAGGCAATTATGTTTACTAACATTTATCCCACATCACGGAAAAAACAAGAAATAAAAGCTTTTCAATAGTTAATTGTAGTAATTTTTGCAGAAAACACGGGTACTTTAAGATGACTGGATAGGAAATCACATCATTGCTTTACATAACTATAGGTAGAATCTTAAACTTTGTCCAAATAAACCTCAACTTAATTAATATAGAATTAAAGCTTATTAAACGAGGAAGTTTTTATAATAGTTGGGTAAATGTAGTAAAGTTGGATAATGATAAAATAGATTGTAAATCATTTATGACTTTTTAAATGGAACTTAGCTGTGTTTATCCGCCAAATAGTCATCTTTAAATACTTTTAACAACGACTAATTCTGCTTTCGTTTAATGTAAATTTTATCTAGTTTACTATGGAGCAATGTTTAGTTGCTTGCCAATACAAAATTAATAATGTTATAAGTTCAGGATTTTTTACCATTGGCAGTCTCTATTTATTTTAAAAACTTTATTTGTAGAGAAGCTTTCGGTATCCGTATTATATATATATTCATAATATATATAATTATAATACATAATTATAATTATCCAATTAGGATAAATTAACAGTTAATTAATAACATTAACAATACATGTATTACATATTTTTTGAAATGTCATTTAATTATTATCAGATCATGCTATACCTTTACCGAAAGCTTCTCTATAAATAAAGTTTTTAAAATAAATAGAGACTGTCAATGGAAAAAAATCCTGAACATATAAGAACATAAAAACAGTCTAAAATTACCTAATAAATATAAAATTAATAATGTTTAAAAATAAATTATAAAATTTATTTATCGCTTAGTGGAAAATAATTTTCTATTTTCTCAAAAAATATTTATTAAATTCATTTCTTATATATTGTTTTAATTATGAAAGCACCAGCTATGGACATGTTGAACTTTAAATGTAAGTAATATGCATTTGATTTAAAGTTTCGAGTTGTTTTCTAGATTGAAGAACAATGCCCTCTAATGACAACTGTTTGAACAAATTCCCAAAAGAAAATTTTAAAATCGCTATCATTGTTGTTTCTGTAGTGCTCTTGAGATCAGTGTGTTTAATACCTTCCTCTTAACAGTTATGCTAAGAGTAAGTTGAACATTTATCTTATCTTATCTTCATCGTTGTTTTATTTAAATAAAGATTTTAGAATTGTTTGAGGTTTGTCTATTACTGGTACCGACCCTCTGTCCATTACTAGAACCATTGGATTTGTGGTTGTCCATCACTAGTGCAAAAATATTTTTTTTTTTAAATAACACATAATTTCAAAATAGTTATTTTGTTAACAACAAAGTTTGCCAGATATATTAGTACACAAATCAATTTTAATCAAGTCTCAATTTAATAACTTAAACACTTTATTCATAATATCTAATAATTGAATGATTTTTATATATTACAAAATTATTTTCTATTGAATATATTTTCCTATTTTTATAATTTAAAAAGAGATAAAACTAATGGTGTGATTAAAAAATTATCTCTATTGGCTTCAATTCATTTTAATGTGTTAACATACTTCATATTGTGTATAAAATATATATATATATCGTATTTCGACAAAAAATTTAACTAACAGGTGATTTTTTATCAACAAATTATGAAATTATTAAATTACTTTATAGATAATTTCAGTTGATAAAATGTGCAAAGTTTTGAGTAAGTGTTAAATTGTACAAAATTAAATTTAGCTCTTCTTGGCGCTGTTTGGTGTTTATTTTTTTATTTTTAATTTAGTTCCAAAGTATAACGATTTTTAAATCATGTTTTAACAAAGTTTTACATTTAAATGATGCTGTTGAAACAGTTAGTGAATTAAAAAAAAAAAAAGATTTTTTCATTGGCCCGGAGCTCTCCAGATAAACAACTTTTGCGTTTTATAAATTCTAAATTAAAATTTATAAATTAAAATATTACTATATTTCACACCAAATTCTACCATTTTGAACACCCATATCATGTAGTACATAGTATAGACTATAGTTACACCTATAGGAACAAACTTTATATTTATATAGGTGCAGCCAGTCAAAACTATAACAGTACTGGTTATTTTGTATATATAATCATTCACTTTATTT